AGCATAGAAGCAACTGCAGCAGCAGCAGCAGCAGCAGCAGCAGCAGCAGGAGAAAAAGAAGAGGATTTTTTTATTTAATTTATAAAAAAAGAATAAAAAGAAATAAATAATATTAATTTAGTCATAAAAAAGAAACAAATACACAAAAAACCCCCTTCCTGTTGTTGCTGCTGCTGCTGTTGCTGTTGCTGTTGCTGTTGCTGTTGCTGTTGCTGCTGCTGTTGCTGTTGCTGCTGCTGCTGTATGTCGGCAGCGGTCTTGATGGGGCCGTCATTCTTTTTTCTTTTTCTTCTTTTTTTTCTTCTTTTTTTATTTATTTATTTAATAAATAAATAAAGTAATTAAATAAAATAAATAAATAAATAAATAAATACAATAATTAATAATAATAATAAATAGAGGACCTGCCTATACACCTGAATACCTACCAACATAAATGCATGCATAATAATTATTTATTTATTTATTTATTTATTTATTTATTTTTATAAGAAAAGAATAAAAGGGTTAATACATTAAACACACTACTATAGAAAACCCTAAACCCTAAACCCTAAACCCTAAACCCTAAACCCTAGGCCATAAAAGAAGGGATGAGGGTTTGTAGCATAGACTAAAACCCTAAACCCTAAACCTTAGCTCAAACCCTAAACCCTAAACCCTAACATAGTGTCAGTGGGGTCCGCAAGGTAGGCTCTTCTTGCCTACTGATGAGGGGTTGCTACACTTAGGGTTTACGGGCTAGGGTTTAGGGTTTGGGGTTTAGGGTTTAGGGTTTAGAGATGATTCTGTTATTATTGTAGGTCTTAATCGTAAAGAAAGTTGTTTAGGGTTTAGGGTTTAGGGTTTAGTGTTTAGTGTTTAGGGTTTAGGGTTTAGGATTGTATATAATTACCAACAAAGAATATATATAAATAAATATACGTAATATTATACATAAAAGTAAATAATATTTATTTATTTATTTATTTATTTATTTATTTATTTATTTATTAATATTCAATAATATATTATTAGGGTTTAAACAATCTACAATATCACTCTAAACCCTAAACCCTAAACCCTAAACCCTAAACCCTAAACCCTAATTGTAAACCCTAAGTGCAGCAACAGGCATACGTATACGCATAAACATACATATATAGATAAATAAATATATATTTATAATTAATTTATAATTAAATAAAATAAATAAATAAATAAATAATATTAATTAATAAATTAATTTATTTTATTTATTTATTTATAAATAAATAAATAAAATATTTATTTATTTATTTATAAATAAATATCCTTTATAAACATATACAGGTATTATAACAAATACTTATTTATTTATTTATTTATTTATTTATTTATTTATTTATTTATTTATTTATTTATTTTATTTATTTATTTTATTTATTTATTTATTTTTTTTTGTGTTTTTATTACTTATTTACCTTATAAGGAGGGAAAAGTATACATGTATATCTTTATATATATATAT